ATGTGCAGTATCAAGCATTGTTTTAAACATTAAGCTAGTAAACATTATAAAAATAAAACTATTGTTGATAGGGGCATTAATGTGCAGTATCAAGCATCGTTTTAAATATTACGCTAGTAAACATTATAAAAATAAAACTATTGTTGATAGGGGCATTAATGTGCAGTATCAAGCATCGTTTTAAATATTACGCTAGTAAACATTATAAAAATAAAACTATTGTTGATAGGGGGCATTAATGTGCAGTATCAAGCATCGTTTTAAATATTACGCTAGTAAACATTATAAAAATAAAACTATTGTTGATAGGGGACATTAATGTGCAGTATAAAGCATAGTTTTAAATATTAAACTACTAAATATTATAAAAATAAAACTATTGTTGATAAGGACACTAATATGCAGTATCAAGCATTGTTTTCAATATTCCGATACTGAAAATTATAAAAATGAAATTACTCTAGCTTTGAGATAATAATATTATACATTAAATTATTGTTGTTAGTTTCAAGATTGTTATATGAGCAGTGAGTTAGTAATTGGTATTGTTCACATTTATCAACGTATGAAATCAGTCTTGAATCGTCCTTGTTGCATTAGCTCACTCTACTTAAATCTGACAAGGTGATTCAGCAGAGACGACAAAGTAAAATATCTCTCCTTGTTTTAAAGAAATTCAATACATGTTATTTAAAAACATTGTTTTATGCGTTTTGAATAACTCTGGTTTAAAACGTCTTAGAATAAAGTTACGGGTCTTAACCGTTTGAAGCTTCAGAAGAATATGGAGTTTACTTTTAGCCAATCAAATATTTTTGGGTTTATACGCATTTCTCCACGCATCCATCAAGGCGGCCGAAGAATGGAATCTATAAAATATCATTAGTGGCATCAGGACACGACATATCATTCCCCAGACTCTCTCACCGAAGAAATCCAGTTGTAGATGGCTGGTGACGTAGTTCTGGGCAGTGAAAGTCTCCATTAACCAAAGAACCAAATTACTAAAAACCAAGAACGTAACGACCTGTCGTCCAGGACGAGCCTTCAGTAAAGCTTCTTTGTAGCCACAGGACCTACGGAGGACCTGGTGAATGAACAGTGACTGAAGGAAAGAGTGGATCACCATCAGTCCGCCATCAAGAAACAGCAGCATATGTTTAAAGCTGTGAAGTTCTAATCCTCCCACTACCAGTCCAAAAAGTCCATATCCATAAACAGCAAGGACACCAATGTGTTGCAGAAATCCATTCAATTTCCGAGCTCGTCGACTTCGTGGACTAAGAGATGGAACCCGAGCCAGTCCAATAAGCACAGCAATGGTCGAGGAAAACAGAATAGCCGAATGAAGGACAACATTTGCAAAGAGTGCATCAAAATACATAGTGTCATCTTCTCTTCGAACGTAGAAAAGGACAATAACCATGATACCAGCAACAAGCACGAGGAGTCCCAGAAACAGACCCTTATTGGCTCCTCTGCAATCGGTTGTGAAGTAAGGGGTCTGGCAAACATCATCTTCATATTCAGATATAACAGATTTTCTCTGACGTCTGCTAAATACATTGATGTTTTTCCAAAGGTAGTAGGCCATCACAGAGCCAATTAAGCTATATTGAATTACGAAAGAATATAAAAACGGAGTGGATTTATCCCAGATCCAACCGGACTTGGAACTTTGAAGACAGTTGTGAAGAGCCGTCATAGGTTCCATTTTATCATTATCTTGTATCCTCCATCGGCATTGACGAGTAACTAAGGGGAGAAAATGTGAAATATGAAAATGGTAAATTACCTAGTACATTGATATTCAATGGTTACAACTAAACCAAAGGCTCGAAACGCTACTGCAAAAAAACATTAACAAATGGTTCTTTGTATGGCATTTGGGTATAAGTTCAAATAAGTGTAGTATTATCTTTAAGTTTTGTGTAAGTTCTGTATAAGAAGCATTTTTAAGTTTTGCGTAAGTTTCTGGAAAGATTTTGTTCAAGCACTACCAAACAATACTGTTTTAAGATATCATAAACAAGCATAAAATATCACTACATCAACATTTAGCAGTGATGATAAGGGTTCTAAACTAATAACAGTTATAAGTTGGGATAAGGGATCTAAAATATTAACACATCAACATTTATCAATGAGGATAAGGGTTCTAAACTAATAACAGTTATAAGTTGGGATAAGGGATCTAAAATATTAACACATCAACATTTATCAGTGAGGATAAGGGTTCTAAACTAATAACAGTTATAAGTTGGGATAAGGGTTCTAAATTATCAACACATCAGCATTTAGCAGTGAGGATAAGAGTTCTAAATTATCAACACATCAACATATATAAGTGAGAATAATGGTTCTAAATTATCAACACATCAACATATATAAGTGAGGATAATGGTTCTAAATTATCAACACATCAACATTTATAACTTAGGATAATGGTTATAAGATATCAACAAATCAACATTATCGGTGAGGATAAGGGATCTAAATTATCAACACATCAACATTTATAAGTTGGGCTAATGGTTATAAGATATCAACAAATCAACATTTATCAGTGAAGATAAGGGTTCTAAAATATCAACGCATCAGCATTATCAGTGATGATAAGGGTTCAAAAATATCAACACATCATCATTTATTAGTGAGGATAATGGTTCTAAACTATCAACATATGAATATTTATTAGTAAGGATAAGGATTCTAAGATATCAACACATCAACATTTAGCAGTGAAGATAAGGGTTCTAGAATATCAACACATCAACATTTACAAGTTGGGATAATGGTTCTAAGTTATCAACATTTATCAGTCAGGATAATAGTTCTAAAATATCAACGCATCAACATTTAGCCATGAGGATAAAGGTACTAAATTATCAACATTTATAAGTTGGTATAAGGGTTCTAAAATATCAGTCGGGATTAGCTCCCTCTATCAAAGAAATATCTAAATTAAGATTTTTGTAACTTATTCATTGGGTGAGTTGTGGGTTCCTTTGGATTATTTGGTAAAAATATTGCGAAGTATAGTCCACGTAACAATAATATAATGCATTAATTTATTTCTTCAATGACGTTCGATAAAGGCTACATTCACTTTGACTCAAGTTTTAAGCCTAAGTTCACAAACTAAACTTCAACGGAAACTGTTCACTTAGCTTAGTTATAAATTTACTTCTCAAAGTTAATCAATGAATAATCACAATTGTTCATCTAATAGTAGCAGAGCAGATGCAAAATCTCTTATTTCTAACACTGAATAACTTTGGTGAATATTTCACTAACTCACTTACTAACTAACTGACAACTAACTCAATCAGTCAATGATTACTCATATTTATATCATACTCTTATTTCTACAAAGTCCATGAAGCTTCTCAATTCTTAACTTTCACGAACTTTCCATATCTGGACATCATCGTAATGACGAGCTCTCTCTAGCAGACATCTGACTTAAAACATTGAAAACACTACCGCCACTCTGAGTTGTGAAGTCTCTTGAACAATCTTAATACATAAATAAAACATTACATTAAATTGCCTATTCACCAAAGTTTTTGGAGGTTTTATCTTTCGAGGGTTATGGTAACCCAGACTGTCCCTTATCATCACATGCTGTCTTGTCATCATAGACTGTGAAGGTAAGCTCACATCCACATAACATTAGTTACACTCTAATATACATTCAATGTCAACTACACATCATGAGAAGTAAGGATAACTTTCCTCTTCCTCAATCAACATACTTCAAGGATTCCCATCAATAATCTCAATGACTTGTGCATTGATTTATCAGTTGAAGTTTGCTCCATACGTCTAACTAATTAAGATTTTTCCAAGGACTTTTGAGCTGTATTTGTTCTTTTGATATGGTTGAGCTTGAAGACTCATCTTTATAGTACTTCATCCTTGGTATATTATCACAGTTTGGGATGTAATAACCATGTTTCTCACATTTCTAGGAATTATCTTACTTGTTCATCCCTACAGGCTTTTGGTTGTAGTTCCTGGTAACATTTCCTTACAATTTACATACATTGTTTTGTGGTTTACTGCTGTGCAACTGGTTGTTGTAGGTACTTGGTGATCCAATAACACTTGACATATTACTTCTAGATGTTGCTTTTAATTAACCGTAACTTTAATTAATTCAATTTTCATAGCCAACTGTAGAGTTTCATTAGGGCTATGTACAGCCTAATTTCCATATCCACGTCTGTTATGGCATCTAAGAATTGGTCAAGTGCCAATGAATCCATCATTTCACATGGAGCATCTGGGTAAAATAATTGGGGAAGCCTTTCGAAATTTTCTACAAGTACAGCCAAAGTCTCTACTTTATACTGTGCTATTAAACTTTGCTTTGAATACTTCCCTCTGGTATGTCTGTTTAATAAGGCAGCTACCAACGTTTGATTCTCAGATGGAAGGTTCCTTAAAGCCAGTCAATGAATACTTCCTCTGGTATGTCTGTTTAATAAGGCAGCTACCAACGTTTGATTCTCAGATGGAAGGTTCCTTAAAGCCAGTCCTATTAAATAGGCAGATTCTTCAATAGCTTTTTTTCACAATTTTACCTGTACAAATTGGAAATTATTTCAAAATGAGCCTAATATTCCTCGCATGGTACCTCTCCACCATGCTTTATTGGTGTCTCGACTAGGTGATGTTGTTGAACTGACTTAGTAATGACATGGTTGTAATAGTCGAGGAAGGTCCTGCATTCACAGCCATAGTAGTAATATGTGTATACCAAATTTATTTTCCTATTACATATTTTATAATAAATGGTGTATTATGTTATAATTATTGAGCAGATACAGAAAGAGGTGTGTCTAGTTTCATCTTTGCATTTACTAGTTCATTTTCCAAATGTTTTATTCTCTCATTGATGTACTTTTGTACCTCATCGATCTTGTTCTTGTAATCTTTCTGTACTTCAGTTTCTTTGTCTTCAGTTTTATAACGACAGCCCCTCTGTACTTCTTCAATTTTGTTGTTGTAATTCTTTTGTACATCTCCAATAACTTCATCGAACTTATCTTCAATCATATTTATTTTTGTTCTTAATTCTTCTTTAAATATTATGACTCTTTCATTTTAGTCATATTTTAAATTCCTGTCTCTTTATTGTAATTTTCTATCATATTCCCCGATTTTTTCCTTTTTGTTCTTTTCAATTTTCTGTATCTTTGCCTCTGTCACCGAAGGTTATGTGTGTGATTGTTTGTCAGTAAGATTTCTCAAATGCTGATGAGTGTATTTAGACGAAAGTTGGTATACTTTTGGAATATGAACCAACTTAGAATTGATTAGTTTTTGGAGGGTCAATTTCAAAGAACAAGGTCACAGCAAGGTCACGAAAACCCCGAAAATCCCTATCTGTTAAGAAGGAACTTATTTTTCACATAATTTTTGCTCTATAACTGAGTCAAAAATTATCAGATTTTGATGAAACTTGTTGGACATATTCTGCCAAGGACGGAGATACGGACATATTTTTCGAGGGCCTGATATGGTCAACACTGTGCTCTACTGAGTATTCCCACCAGTTCTTATTGTTTTCTTTCATCTTTGTATCGTTTTGAAAATTTTCTGTTTCTGTTATATCATTTCTAGCAAATTTCTCATCTTGCTTTGTGCCTCTGTTCTAATCTTTAAAGTTAAAGTTTAGTCAGAGTTTTATTTTTATTTCACCAAAACAATTCCACTTCCGAGATCAGTGTTATAACGTGTCCGGTCGTTGGGCGGGACCTTATAGATTATTTGTAAATAATAATACAAAGTCAAGTCCACTTGATGAGTTTATTTATGCAATAGCATGCTATACGGGCTACAGGATACATTAGGTTATATTCACTGGTAGATCTAATTGCACAAACAACATTTCAACAGAAACGTCTAACTTACTTATAATTTTACTTTCTGAATTTTCTCTCTAATCGCTTGATAAAAAAAAAAACACGAAAAACATGTTGAATAACTCACTGACTAACTCACTAAATCATATGTGAATAGACTTAATAATACCTCTGACTGTCTAAGTCACTAAAAGTATTTAACTGAGACCAGTTTGGTTAATTAAGTTAAACTTCTCGTTCTTGCATTTTCATATTGCACTAGGTTTATAAATACTACATGAAACTTCAAGAGGCCTAAGCTTTCATAAAACTATTAGACTTCACACAATCATCAGATCATGTAAAAAATTCCTTCTGGTGAACAAAACATTAAAATAATATAAATACAGCCTACAATAATACTATTAAGAAATGTTGGAAAATGAAAAAGATATGGGTAATTATGAGATCAAAGTTTCTCATTTAAAGACATACTACATTTTGTGATAGGATTAAGTTATTGGGTGACAAATGATATTGTTATATTTTAAATATTTTAATTTAGTGTTTGTTTGGAAGAGGGAGAATGTAATTATGCCATAAGGATGCAAGATCTAGAAAGTTCATGAAAGATGAGAATCTAGAAGTTTCGCAGAGTATTTATAATTAAGATTATAATATTAATTATTAAATAATCAATGAGTGAGTCAGTTCAGTGCAAGTTTAATGAGTTAGACAGTGAAAGTTAATACGTCTGAGATTAAGTCAGTCTGCGAGTTATCCATCGGTTAGCGAGCAAATTCTGTGAGTTTATAATTAGTCTTAAATTAGTTTCTATTGAAGTGTTGCTTGTTAAGCCTACACCTGCGAGTTTTAATGATAACATTCAGATCAAACGATTGAATAAAACAGGCCTAGGAGATGTTGGAAATTCTAAGTGTGATATACAGTTTCAAGCATATTCGAAAGTAGTTTATACAGTACTGTGAAAAAGTCTTCGGACAAAGTCAAAAATTAGATTTCAGGCTACTTTCATAAAACAATGGAAGGTAAATCACAGGTGAAACATTAAAATATTATTGATCTTCATATTTAGTACAATAGAAACTCGGTGGAAGTGCTTGAGTTCAGCAAACAGTTAATATTTTGTGTGTCCCCCTTTTGCTTTAATAACTGCAGACAGTCTTTCAGGCATTGTTGTAAAATATTTAATCAAAGTGTCCTTTGGGATTGTACTCCAAATGTCTCTAATACACTCTCATAAAGTTTCTCTGCAAGTAACTTTTGATTTGTCAAGTTTTTTGATCTATTAAATCCCAGATCTTCTCAATTGGGTTGAAATCGGGGCTCCGTGGGGGCAATTGCATCATTTGAATGACTCCAGCAGCTTCTTTCTTGGCTAAGTAATTTCTACATAGGTTGGATGAGTATTTGAGGTCATTATCTTCTTGGTAGTAGAATCCTTTACCAATAATACACAAATCACTGGGTATACCATAACGGATCAGTATCTGATGATACTTGCACTGGTCCATTATTCCATCTATTTTGTAAATATCTCCTGTCGCCTCAGAAGAAAAACACTTCCCAACCATTACACCATCATACTTCATGGTAGGTGCTATGCATTGAGGTAAGTATCCTTCACCTTTCTTCCGCCAGACGTACAACCTACGCTTTGAACCAAACATTTCAAACTAGGACTCATTCTTCCATAACACCCTTTTCCAATCATC